CCCTCGTTCTGCGAGGGGAGGGCGCGAAAATGGCTGCCGCCTATGGAGGAACTTCGCTGAACGGTGAGTTTGAAAGCCATAGGAACGCATTGAACAAAGTTCAATGCGTTTCTATGGCTTTTTCCCTCCCGCACAGCGATGTTTCCCACAGCGAAGGTTAATCCGGAACGGATTAACCTCGCTGTGCGGGGCACCACTGTAATAGGAAAAAAATTTTTAAAGCAAGACAAGATGTTACTCCCAAGCTTTTTTAATGTGGCCCCTTCTTTTAACAATTAGCCGCTGACCCTACATTAAGGGACGTGGTGGTGCTGTGGGCTAAACCACAGAAGCCTGTGCTGCAGGGTCAGAAGACCAAGCAGTCGTAAGATCGAATCCATGCGATGGAGTGAGTGCCCGTCGCTTGTCCCAGCTCCCACCAACCTAGCGGTTCGAAGGCATGCAAATGCGAGTAGATCAATAGGGACCACCTCGGTGGGAAGGGAACAGCGTTCCGTGTCTAAGTCGCACTGGCCATGTGACCACGGAAGATTGTCTTCGGACAAAACGCTGGCTCTATGGCTTCGAAACGGGGATGAGCACCGCCCCCTAGAGTCGAACATGACTGGACAAAAATTGCCAAGGGGAACCTTTACCTTTACCGACCCTACATTGTTTTCTTGATAGGCTGACAGGAGGGAGGGAGAGACAGAGACGGGTAACAGGGCAGCATTTCTGGCAGAGCCCTAGGCTCACTGCTGCACCTGATGGATCATTTCAGTACCTTGGATTGGTCCGTTGTAATTCGGACTAAAATTCAGAGTGGACTCAAATTGACCTCTGTGAAATCCAAGTTGCCAACCTCCACTCGGGTGAGCCATTTAAGGTTCTGCCACCGGCAAGCAAACAGCCTGGTCTTTTCCACCACCTCTGTGTTGCGCCAGGCGCCTCGTTTCCTTGATGCTTCCTCGGAGGGGTGGGGAGCTCTTCTGACTCACCTTAGTCTCTTCTCCATGCTGGAAAGGGAACCTTGACTCTCGCAATTCTGTGCCCCAATCTCCATCGGCCTTGGAGTTGCACACGATGGTCCGGATGTCCCCACGGAAATCAAATCGAGGGTTGAAGTGAAGGATCAGGTTCGACTCGTCCTGGCCCAGGTTGAGGGCAAAGCTAGGAGAAACGGGTTATGACAGAACAGGGCTACGTGTGAGCCTCCCCTCAGGTCCACCTGCCTGCTTTGGATCCTCCATCTCAGGGAGGCATCGTTTCCCACCAACATACTCCTCCACTGTCTGGAGAGCCGGCCTCATCTTCTATGGCACAGAAAGGCAGACGGCTGCCTTCCAGGTATTTCAGACTACAGCTCCCAGAGATCCTAGCCAGCATGACCCATGGGCACGGATTTTGTAGTTGGTGAAAAGTACAGTGGTGCCTCGCTTAACAATGATAATCTGTTCCAGGAAAATCGCTGTTAAGCAAAAACATCGTAAAGCGAAAATAAAAAGCCCATTGAGATGCACTGAAACCCATTCAATGCATTCCAATGGGGCAAAAACTCACCGTCCAGCGAAGATCCTCCATACGGCAGCCATTTTCGCTGCCTGTCTAGTGAGGAATCTGCCCCTAAACACAGCGGGGAGCCATTTTAATTACCCGGTGGCCATTTTGAAATCGCCGATCAGCTGTTCTCAAAACATCGTTTTGCGAAGAATCAGTTCCCGAAGCAGGGAACCAATCATCGCAAAGTGAAATTCCCCCATTTAGACCATTGTTTTGCAATCGCAAAGATTGTCAGAATGCAGATTTGTCATAATGCGGGGCGATCGCTAAGCAAGGCACCACTGTATCAGGTTTCCGAGTCCAATCTACAGACAATTAGAGGTCTCTTTGATCAGTGTTCCCCAAACTTTTCTGAACCGCAGACCGGTTGGGGGGCCGAAGTATTCCCCCTGCACTTGTGGATGGGCGGGGTGCGCTTGCACAGGGTGCACTCGTGCGGATGGGCGGGGTGCGCTTGCAAGCATGCACGAACGGGCGGGGCATGCTCGCACACATGCACGGATGCGCAGGGCGCGCTCATGCACATCCACAGATAGGCAGGGCACCCGTGCATGCAGGTGGGCGGGCCCTGCATGCGGGTGGGGTCTGTGGGGGAGGCGACAAGAGATCTGTGTCCGTGGCCTGGTCTTGCCATGGCCACAGACTGGCACCAGGCCACAGACCGGGTGTTGGGGACCCCTGTCTTAGACTATACCTCTGATGTACATCAGTGAGATGTGTTTAGTCTAGTTTTGAAACTCATGGAGAGATTTAAAGCTACTATCAAGTCTGTAATGTGACTTTTCTTTCAGAAGACTGAGGCCCGGAAATCTGACAGGCTAGAGGGACTGGTATGTTGTATTTGCTGGTTTTATCTTGTCTTAATCAACTAATCGCTCAGCAAGGCATTTCTCGTTGGAGCCGAGTCTCTGTTTGCCCCCTCAATACAAACCTCTCGGCCTCAGGTGCCACCTTGCCTTTCACTTTGATGCATTCCCCAGATTTTACCCTCACGTGGGCAACGAGTTGCTAAAAACAAAAAGGGAAAGATACAAGAGATAATAGCTCACAAATGCACAAACACACACAATTAAATACATAAATTACAATATTTTGAAAAACAGAAGAAAACACAGAAACAAGATAAGGACAGCAAACAAACAGACCAAACATTGATGATATTTGGAAAGCTGTCATACAACGGAGGGGCAAGATCTGTTCTCAATCATCGCAGCGTGCAAGACATGCAACAATGGGCTCCAGTTAAAGGAAGCCAGATTTCGGTTGAATATCAGGAAAAACTTCCTAACTGTTAAGAGCAGTGGAACCAATGACCTTGAGAGGTGGTGAGTGCTCCAACGCTGGAGGCATTCAAGAGAAACTTAGACAACCACCTGGCAGATATCCTTAGATTTGTATTCCTGCATTGAGCAGGGAGGGTTGGACTCAAGGGTCGTATAGGTCCCTTCCAACTTCATTATTCTATGATTCTTATTTTCTTTTTCTTATTTTCAATTGAAAAACACAGAAACTAATGAACGTGCATCACACGCTACATCCAAAAAGTGATGTAGCGCCTCTGAAAATCAGAGGCCTTGAATTACAGCAAATACAGCAGGTAGAAGAGGAGGAAAAAAGAAGCCTAAAAGATTATATCAATAGAAGAGGAAAAAATGCTTAAGGCAGTGAAAATGGAGAATATTTTGAAAACAACAGAAACAAAGGCTCAATATAAAAAACAACAATTTGAGAATAAATTAAACAGAAAAATAAAAAACAACAATTTGAGAATAAATTAAACTGAAAAAAATAAACCACTATTTGTATAACATCTGAGAAATATTGATGGAAAGCATGATCATAATTCAACACTTAGAGGGGAGCAGCTATCCCTTCCTCAGTCTTTAGTTGCTTTCTACACGCAGTTTAACAAGTCTGTAGAGAGGATGCTCAAGCTGGGGTACTACCACCAAGAAGGCTCTGTAGGAATCCCACTATATGAGGTATCACAGGCAGTCTTCCCAGTGAATCTTAAATCTTCAGAAGGTGGTCTTCTACAGAGGACCTAAGCAGTCTAGAGCTTTGTACCCTCAAGTTAGCACCTTCAAACTGGATTAGTTGCTCAACTGCTTTAAGTGGGTGCGATAACCCTAAGCAGTCTAGAGCTTTGTACCCTCAAATTAGCACCTTCAAACTGGATTAGTTGGTCAACTGCTTTAAGTGTGTGCGATAACAATGCTCCACAGTAGAATGCGTAGAATCACTGGAAGGTTTACCAGACAACAATCCTATCAGAACTGTAGAGTGGAAATGGGCAATCAGGCCAGCAGTATGTACTTAAGTTGCTGGCCATTGCCTGCCAGATTGTGCAATCGGTCATATGACAGCCGGCAAACAGCAAAGACTGCTTTGTGCGATGGCCCTTATGGACATGTCCTTTCACAACATTTGGGCCTTGAACTCAGAATTCTCATGTCTCAGCTTACCGTAAATACGGGCTTGTAGACTCAGCTTAACAGTAAATATTTGTGTGTCACGGAATGCAAGGTAAGCTAAATGAAACAGCATCTGTAAGGTGGGAGTGCCCCCTCCCCAAGATTTAGACTAGTGTAAGGATGCCTCACCCAGAACAGAAGACTTAAAACAGTAAAGCAGTCTCACAGACCCACAAAGAATCTCTGAGAAACTGTGAAAAACTGACACATCCCACCCACCTTATCTCAAAGTAACCACAAGCAAGGCAACAGTGGCTCCCATAGATACACTGCTCAGAAAAACCAGTTTGAGTAGTCAGGATTTTTTAAAAAAACATTATTATTGGTGTTTCCTGCCTCCCTCATGGTGGATCCTCCCCACCCTAAGGAGAAGCGGTGTCAAGAAGTGCCATGAGCGCCTCATGAAAGATTCACGCAGTTTTATGATCGCATAACATTCTGGTGGAAGGGAAACGTGGAGCCCTCCAGATGTTACTGAACAACAACTTCAGTCAGGCCAGGCTAGCCTCATCAACGATGAGGAATGATGGGTTCTGCAGTTCTGTAACATCTGGAGGGCCAGATGTTGCCCATTGCTGGATTATACCATAATAAAATGTGACAGCCATCAGGATCCTTAGTTCGTTTTGCTCAAAAGGTAGACTCTCAAAGGGCAGGACTGTAGCTTCAGTGCAGATGCAAAGGAGAAAAGTCCTATGAAGCTCTATGGGGCATGTTTCCGACTTTATACAGGGGTTCCCTTTATCCGCAGGATCAGTATCTGCTGATTTATTTATTCATGGTCTGAAAATATTAAAAATACTAAAAGAAAAATCCCCAAAATAAATATTTTTAACAATCAAGTTGAAACTGGCTACAAGAGGGAGGCAGAGAGCATGCTATGTATGTATAGCATTTGCTATCCTAATACAGTAGTGTTCACTATCATCCACGTTTTCTGGCATGCACAAGGTTCGGTTGGAACTGACCCACCCCCACCCCCGCAGATATGGGGATCCTACTGTACTGGATTTGATCATTAGCTTCCTTTGGAGAAGAAAGGTTCAAGGACTAAGGACATAACTTGCCTAGATTAAATGCTGCAAGACTTACTAACAACACAAAACCCAAACATAACCAAAACTTGGAAAAGTTGCTCTCTTTTTTTGGTAATAATCCCCAGAATCCGCAGTTAACACGACCAGTGGCTATACTGGCTGGAGAATTTGGGGAGTTTTAGCCATAGGCAGAACAGGTGTCCAGTTCAATCATCACAACACTAAGCAGAATAAAAACAAAAGCGGCGCAACCAAGGTCACACAGCCAGCACAAGAAACAGCAACCCCATCCAACAACTCACCAGCGCCATCCACAACCCTTTCCCAACCTGACCGCTTCCAATCCGCACAACCTCCCCGCTACAACTCCTCCGTCTTTTTCCCCCCAAGCTTTGAAGAGCCCCCGAGTAATACAGCGGTTTCCTCCGACCAGCCAATCAGAGGGGAAGCCTTGATCACTAATTAATCAACAGGCAGGCAAGGGGGATCTAAGAAGGAGGGAGGCGATCCACTCATCAGCAAACTTGCAATGGAGCATGTTTCCCCTGCGTGTTCTGTTCCCCAAAAACGCAACTTATTGGAACGCTGGTAGGATGATTATTCTTCGCCTGCAGCACAAAATCCTCTTGAGCTCTTAACTCCCAGAATCCCTCTTGATCACCCGGATGAGACTACAATTCCCAGCAGGCTTGCAGCACCGTGTGTTTTTTTTAAATCACTTTCGCCGGCATCGCTGTTCTGATTGGTTGGCAAGAGAGGATCGCATCGGGCAGGGGGTGCTCAGGAAATTTTCCTGTTTTTTAAAATAAAGAGCGGGAGATGCGAATCCTGCCATTAACAGAGGGGGTCCAACAGAAAGTGCGTAAAGCGATTTTGTCAACTCTGCGCAGCCCTTTTTAAGGCATCAAATAATCACAGCAGAAGTTTCTCTTGCGTTAAGTGCTTTGCTAGGCTTTTAATAGCCTCTGTCTGTGTCGCCAAGAGAGCTGGGTTGTGTGTGTGTCTGTGGCATTACCTTTTTTGTACTACAAATCCCAGAATTCCCCAAGCTGTCTGGACAAGGCTGATCTGGTGAAAGGTTATCAACGTTTTGAACTTTTTGGACTGTGCCTCCCAGAATCCCTTAGTTACTTTGGCCAGTGCTTGTGCTTGTCAGGGGATGCTGGAGTATGTCATGGAAATAAAAGAAATTTTCCAAGCCCTGGAA